AATACTGTCTAACTTTGCCTCTCTGACCTTCGCTCTCTGACTTCTCTGCTCTCTCTCTCTTTGCGGCAGGGCATGCTGACGGAGCTACAGACAGCGAGTCCGAACGGTCACAACGGATACTCACAGGCAGCCGTCCGCCCGGCCAGCATGTCCGGAACGGACCAACATGGCCGTCACACGGGACACAGCATGAGCACGAAGTCCGTCGGGGGGGGGGGCCCGATCTCCAACACAAACTCGAATTCGCCTGAGCGGCGGCTGGCGGCGGCGGCAGCCGGCCGACTTGAAGGTGGTCATACCTAAGCCCGTCGGGCAGCCCCTGCAGTAAGTGTGTGGCGGCTGCGCGCGCGTTTGGTGGCGTGCGGTGCGTGCCGTGCGTGGATGCGTGCGTGGCGTGTGCGTGCCGTGGCGTATACTTCATTGGCGTGAGTGTGCTGTGCGTGCGAGCGTATACATTCATAGTGTGTGTATGTGCTGTGTGGTGTGTGTGTGTGTGTGTGTGTGTGTATGTGTGTGTGTTGGTGTTTGTGTGTGTGTGTGCGTGGTTGCGTGCGTGCGTGCCGTGTGTGCGGTGTGCGTGTGCGTGCGGAGCGTATATTTTTTCATAGGTGTTTGCGAGCATGCGGGGCGCGTGTGTCCATTGCACTGTGTTTGCATGTGGCGTTTGCGTGTGTCGTATGCGTGCATTGCAGCGTGTGTGCATTCGTGTGTACGTATGTTTAAAAAATGTTTGCCGAGTAAATGTGTGGGGCGTGCGTTGCGTGCATGCGTGCGTCGTGCGTGTGCAATTGATGAGTGCCGCATGGGTATTGCACATTTTATGTGACTTTTCGTGACAATGTCCAGTAATAAATTGCAAATATCTTGTACACTAGAATACTCCCCTTAGTCATTACACCGGTAAAACGCCCATTATGAGTACATAAAAGTTGACAATGGCTAATAAGTAACGTTTGCTAATTCTGCAATTTGAAGCAGCTCACCTAGTGCATTTATTTTCTGTTCATGTGTCACTCGTGCTATGCGCTATTCGGTCATGGTGCTTATTCTCACAGTCGTACCCCGTACGTCTTGTATGTCAGCACAGCCATGTTCGTGCTGCGTTCGGACGTGGCCATTTTGTTTCCGCGCCGGCCATGTCGGTATCCTGCGTTCGTGCGTGACATTTCTGTTGAACCGCGGGCGCTGTCGTATCGTGCCGTTCCGTGGGTGGCCATTTTGTTCACGCGCGCGGCCCATGTCGTACGATTCTGCAGCGTTCGGTCGTGCATATAGTTCACGCCGCGGCCCATCTCGTATCTGCGTTCGTGCGCTGACATTTTGTTCACCGCGTGCCTGTCCGTATCTGCGTTCGTGGCGTGCATTCTCTCTTTCACGCGGGCCATGCCGTATCTGCGCTTCGCGGCGTGGCATTTTGTTCCACCGCATGGCATGTCGTATCTCGCGTTCGTGGCGCTGACATTTTGTTAAACGCGCGTCATGTTCGTATCTGCGTTCGTGGCGTGGCCAATTTTTCACGCGCGGCCATGGCCGTACTCTGCGTCGTGGCGTGCATTTTGTTCACGGCATTGCCAATGTCGTATTCTGCGTTCGTGCGTGAAATTGTTGTTAACGTCGCGGTCATTCGTAACTCGCGTTCGTGGGCGTGACATTTTGGTTAACGCGCTGCCAATTCGTATCGCGTTCGTGGCCGTGACATTTTTAACGGCGGGCAGTGTGCGTATCTGCTGTTCGTGGCGTGCCATTTTGTTTACGGCGCGGCCATGTCCGTATCGCGTTCGTGGCGTGGCATATCAGTTCACGCCTCGCCATGTCGTGATCTGCGTTCGTGCGCGTGGCAGTATAGTTCATGGCGCGCAATCGTCCGTGTCTCCCCCCTTGTGACGTCGATCTTTGTCGTCTGCTGCAGCAGCAGGGGCAGCTAACACAGCATCAACAGCAGACAACTACCCGACCTCGAAACGCCGACGCTGTCCACGCCTTGAAGTCTCTACTCGCGACGCCCGAGCAACCGCAGTCTCCCTGCGATATCCGTCCGCATTGCCCTCCTACCTTCCAACACAGTACGTATCAACACCGTATAATACGCCGTGTCACAATGAGAGGCGGCATTGCGGGGATAGATTTAGGTGAGGGAGAAAGAGGGTGTAGCTTGATATGACAAATGTTATATGCTCATTAGCACCTCTGGAAGGACGGAGGGACGTAGAGTGCTTGGGTGGTGTTGGATTTGATTGGATGATTAGTGCTCTTGTATAGGTTGTCTGGCTCGGTTGGGTGGTTGGTTAGATGGATGGATGCGACCGGACGAATGGACAATTGGATGATGCCATGCAAATGGAATTGGATATCATACATAGAATAGATTAGATCGTTGGAGAGAGGAATAGAGAGAGAATGTGTACGCAGGCATCGGTGAACCCCTGGTGAGGCTGATCAATATAGGTACAGCAGCCCGGCACAGCTTGCTCGCTTTTTTCCAATCATTTGATTTTTAATATTGACGAACGGAGAATGTGAGAGACAGACGTGAAGCCATATGTGTTTTTCTTTTTTTCTCCATTTGTTCTCCCTCATGCTACACAAACGCAAGCCATGTGCGTGCAATCCACGAATATATACCCGCACTATCTCCTCCTGACTCACCGTCCTCATCGTCTTCTCTCTCTCTCTCTCTCTCTCTCTCTCTCTCTCTCTCTCTCTCTCGCTCGCTTGCCCTCACACTCTCTCTTTCTCTCTTTTCCTGTCACATTTCCCTCCCTTTCCCCTCTGTCTCTCTTGCGTGCTCTCCCGCACCCCATTTCTATATCTCTGTTAATCCCTCTCCGTCTCTGACGCACATACACAATGCTTGCAGGCATTTGTTAACATTGCGTAATCCTATGTATCTTTTATATGTATTTGTGCTACTCTATCCCCCTCATCCCTCCTCCCTCTCATCTTTCCACTCCTACCCTTCGCCGCCCTCTTCCCTTTCCCCTTCCCACATTCTCCTCCCCTTCCTCCTCATCCTTCCTTCTCATCCTTCCCCGTTTCCTCCTCTCTCTCCACTAACTGCTCTCCTGCTCCTTTTCCTCCTCATCCTTCTCCTCCTCTTCTCCTCCTACCACCCATCTCATTCTTCTCCTATATACTATTCTACCTCTTTCTCACAATACCTGTATTTGCCACCCGTATTTGAAAGCATCCACGTATCAGATCTGCGTAGGAATTTTCTTTCCCGGGCTGAAAGTTGCAGTAAACTGTCCACTTAGTTAAACAGCCCATAAATCTTGCTGAAGGTTAGAGGTGAAAGGAGCAGCAAGCGAGCAAGATTAAGAGAGATTGGGTAGAGAGAAAATGTGTGTCTGAGAGGGAGAAATGAAGAGAGGGTGAGAAAGAGAGAGAGCGCGCAAGACCGAGACAGAAAAAGACAGTGTGTGAGACAGACAGACAGACAGACAGACAGACACACAGACAGACACACAGAGAGAGAGGGGGAGAGATGGAGAGAAAGAGGAACGTGCGGCGTCCGACAGATGGGCACACGCGAGTGCAGGCTGTGCGGGGTGCGTGACTGCGTTCTCTTACGCCACGCTGCCTCACCGCCTCCCGCTCGGCCGCCCCGCTCCGTCTCTGCACTATGAGTATCTGTAGCGAGGGAGGGAGAGAGAGAGGGGGGAGAGAGGAAGAGAGAGAGGGGGAGAGGGAGAGAGAGAGAGAGAGAGGAGGGGTGAGAGAGAGAGAGAAAGAGAAAGATAGAGAGAGAGAGAGAGAGAGAAGGAGAGAGAGAGGGGGGAGGGAGAGAGAAGCCATCGCTTACGGCCGGTGTCAGGTTCGCGCTGCAGCGTCAGCGGGCAGCATTGCTCGCCGCGCTCCAGATGGGAGGCATTTTCCGTAGTTCTGTAAGACGCGGGCCGGCGTGTGGGTGTTTGGGGATCATTCGATGGGCGGACGAATGGCTACACGAGAAAGTGAAAGGAAGCGGAAACGAGAAAGAGAGAGGAGGAGGGGGGAGAGAAGCGAGGTTATGAGTAGGGCACGAATATACGAAGCAGTGCCTGTACGTAGAGAGGGAACGGCGGGTATAGGGAGGGATAGATCTAAGGTGGAGAGGGAGAGAGGGGAGAGAGAGAGAGAGAGAGCGCGAGTGTGTGTAGTGTGTGCGTGCTTGCGTGCGTGTGTGTGTGTGTGTGCGTGCGTGCGTGTGTATGTGCGTGCGTGCGTGCGTGTGTGTGCGTGTGTGTGTGTGCGGGCGTGCGTGCGTGTGTGCGTGTGTGCGTGTGTGTGTGTGTGTGCGCGCGTGCGTGCGTG